ACTTTGTGCCATTTCGAAAAACGCCAGAAGTGTTAAAAAAAACATATTCGTTTTAATAATGCCAGAAGTATTTTTAAAACGAATAATTATATTATTCGTTTATTATTGCATTTTTGTATTATTATTCGTTTTATATTATTATAGATTATAAAATGAATTATATCTATTAAGCAAAAAAACTTGTATTTAAGATTGATGATATGAATAATAATTTATTTTTTCATCTTATAACCGTCGTTGAACAGCCGATCCAATTTTGGGTTTAATAAACTCCGTAGCCTTGTAATTTTGAACCCGGTCTACAAGACAAGGAATCTCCTGGATCAAGTCTCTGGAGAAATTTGCTTTCGTGGAGGACTTTTTTTAGGAACTAACCAGCATTTGCGTTACATGAAGAGGAAAACCAAGAAAATCTCTCATGGTTAGTCTGAATGCAAGGAGACTCTTGCCCCCCCCCCCATGATCTTTTTACCACGGAGGATATTTTACGTAAGCACAGTGGTTGGTGCGAGCTGAGCCAGGTGAGGAATTCGTATCGTCCAGCCATCTCTGGGATTCGTATCCGGGCTACCTCATTGAAAGGCGAACGCTCTATGCCCTAAGAAGCCACTACGGCTGTATGAATGATATTCACTTCAAAACATATTTATTAATGTTGAATAAAAGGTCAATTTCAAAACAGATGTTATTTAAGTGAGTGCCTTTTAATTAATCCGCTGATTTTTGTCGTCACAAATTTTGTATATTATACAAATAACACAATGCCATGTTTTATTCTGCAGCAGAAATCGAACATTAGAAAATAATTATAAAAGTATAGAATGTATGCATTTATAGAATTTTTTGCTTAAAAAATAATTCTATGTCAGTTTTATTATTTTTTTTAAGAAGTCGAAAAGTGTGCCAAAATGAAAAACAACACTCATTTTTCCTATGTGTAACAATCGGTTAATTTTATAGTGGCAAGACTTTTCTGCTAAATCCTTGTTCTATATTTTGGATACAAACTATATCAACTTCTGAATGCAATTTACAGTCCTGTTGTCTACTATTATTGGAAAGGTTTTTTGTTCGAATTGAGTTAATAATAATTGCAGTTATTTTCCTTTAAATTATATTGCTTATTAATTTATTATTAACTATCTTTATTGTTCTATTTGCAGTCACTTGCATTTTAAATAGCATTATATTTATCAAATGCCGATAACACATTAATCATATTGCACTCGTTACAAAATGAATCTGCTAACTTTATAGTGGTATACCAAAACCTTTTGGGATATAAATTATACCAACCTTTGAATACAATTTATACATTGGCCGCTACTAATGACTACCCAGTATTGCTGGTGAGTTGGAAGGGTTTTCAAATTTAGAAGAAGGGGGGGTTGCCCACGTGGCAGCTGGCTATCGAAACTCTTCCAAGACAGATGGAGGCGGTCTACACCAGACAAATTAACCCTCAATGCAGGAGGAGCAAGGCAGGAAAATTTATGTCCATGCGGTTTTCAATCTTGATTGCTTTTCTCCGCAATCTGATTTACCACTTTTACCGTTAACCCACCCACCCCTAAATGCACCCATCAAAATCCTTTCAAAACAGCTGTGGTGATCGTCTACCACAACCCTCTCACGTTCTTTTTTTTTTCCTTCCCTCATTCAAATCTTTAATAGTTTGATTTACTTTGGATGATAGGTGAAGTTGTGGGGAAATGAATTTAGAATTCTTTATTTTCACCTTTTAATGTTATCCCATTAACTGTCGAGTGAATACAAATCTACTGGGTCTCCTTTTTTTAAAAGAGGAAATTAATAAAAGAATAAAAATTATTTTATGTAATTATGTTGAATAATTTAAAATTATTTTTTGTTCTAATACAAAAATTTAGTTCTAAATCAAAAGTTAAAAATCAAAAGTGAATAATTATTTATTTGAAAACATTTTCCTTACCCTTCTTTTCTCCAAGTTCATAATTAGATTTATTGTTATTTATTTTATTATTATTTTATTAGATTTATTATTATTATTTTTAGATTTATTTTAATTTCTCTGAGCAGCATTCTTGTTCTATTTAAAATATAATTATTGCGACTAGACTTTCTTGTTAGTGTTATGTTAATTCTTGTTAATGTATTATTAATGTAGATTAACTTATAGAGGATCTTTTATTTTTAAAACAGAAAAGTTTTAATTAATTCATAACAAAAAAAAACAAAAAAAAAACATTAAAATTCAAAAAGAAAAGAGAAAAAGAAAAATTTAAAATGACAAAATAGAATAAATTATTTCCTTCCCTGTACTTTGCTCAAATTTTGTATGCATATATAAATATACATATAAAATATATAATGGAATTCGAGTTCGTGCGGAATTAAGAAATCACTTATTTGACATCAGAAAAATATTTCCGTTTTCGAGCATTTTATCGTATCTATGAAGTTTGTTATATTTTATACTGCTGCCACCTAGTTTCTCTTTTATGAACTTTTTAAATTGAAAGTTAACTCTATTAAAGCTTGGAATTATTTTTTCTTTTTTCATTTTTGCTTCCTTAAATCACGATTAATTCACTAATTTTTTTTTCAATTAATTTTTAATTTTAGTAAATGTAGGTTAGCAATGAAACTAGAATTTTCTGACTCTTCTTATTAGGAAATTTTATTTGTAAAATAATTACAAATAAAATAGATTCAAAGAATAAATAAATTTTACGTATAAGATTTTTATAAAAAGCATGTGTTGAATAAAATAGTTAAATCATGGGCGTTGTTGGCAGAAAGGGATGGGGGTGGTATATGTCCCACCCAATATTTCAGGCAAATAAAGAAAATTTGCATGCATTGGTGATTGAAACTCGTAAAATGTAAATTTTATACTATATATTTCTTCAGATATTTAGCAAATAGAAAAGTAATTTATTTTAAGTATGAACTTTAGAGAACTTGTGTAATTGTGTATTTTAATTTGGTTTCCCTCAAAAATTGGACGCCAGTGACGTCCACGAGGTAAATTCTCAAACTTTTTCATTCACTTCTTTATTCAGCTTACTTCGTTCGCTTGTTGATCACATTTTTGTGTTCTAAAATAGTTTCGTATATATATTAGCTGAAAATTATAAATTCCAGTGACTCAACATATTCTTAAATAAACTCATGAAATATTTGCTCTAGCCCAAAACTTTTAAAACCAAAGGAAAATGTTCTTAAAATTGAGAAGAAGTATTCTTTATCGATCTTCGTAGGTCAAATGCATTCCGTCGTTATGAAGCATTAAAACTTAAGTATAGCTGAATACTATTGAACCTGCGTAAATTGATGGTAAAAACAACGAGCAGCTTGTTTGCTGATATTGGCTTTTAAACTTTCATTTCTCTCCAACTTAGTTTGTTGTAGTTTTTCAGAAAAGTTTTTTTTTTTTTGTTCAGAAATTCGTTAACAATTATGCTTAAGCGTTCATAGTTGTGCTCCCTCGTTGTTGCCAAATCGAAAAAGAAAAATTCGTCAATTTTAACGCATTACCGTTTGATGCATTCCACTCATTTCTTTGCATCCATTTCCTCCTTATTTTAGTTCTACATTCGTTTATTAAATGAAATTTTTTCTCCCCTTAGTTTAAATTTATTTTCTTAATTTGTTAAGGATTCTCCAAAACCCATAGAATACCAAAAACTGCATCATTATTGATATGGAATGGAGTTGTAGTCAAGTAATATCGTCTTATTTTCAGATCATAATAATCCTTGTTTTATGTCTATCGAATTTTCCGTTAAAGTATGATTCACTTGATCCAGTCAAGCAAAAATGCAGTTGTCGTTAATTTTAAAGAGGGACGGGGGGGGGGCTGTAAAGGGGTGCATATGTGGTTTCTGATAAATTAGTGCAGCTGACGAAATGACGGCCTATTCACATTTCCCTTTCAGCCTGGAAAAGGATTGAATAAGTTTTTGCTCCATTGTTGATGCCCATTCGCTTACTTTTGAACGCGATGGGAATTATCAGTATTTCTACAAATTTATTCTGTAACACTTAGCTCGCGTTTTCCCCCTCACGTTTCTCTAATGTTCCCAAACGGTGTTCCGCGGAACCTCAGGGCTTCCGCGGAAGAGTTAAAAGGGTTCCGAGAGTTAGGACTTTTATTTAACCATTTTTGAAATCATGTTATTATATTTAGATCCAATCAATAATCCATTAATTTTTGGTTACTTTTCCATCCCTCTTTTCAAATCGAAATCAAATAGCTAAATTCGCTAATAACAAGAAGAAAAAAAAAAGAAAAAAAACTACGTTAAATTTCACTAAAATATTGGGTATCGGCTATCAGATATTAGGCACCATGGCGACTGGGATTTATTGATGTTTGGTAAATGAACCAAAACTCTTTCATTAAAAGGTACGGGAAAAACCTGTCGCCTCAAATTCTTGGGCGATTTAAGACTTTTTTTTTAAATCAATTTAAGGGAAATTTAATAATCATAGGCATTTATAATATATTATTTATAATGTATACTTATATATATTTATATATTGCATTGCAACGTGCAATATATAAATATATGCAATGCAATATATTATATTATTATAATATATTGCATTTATACTATATATTATAATCATGGGCAATTTAAGATTTTTTTTTAAACATATAAAGAATTGAGTTTAGTTAAACGTAGAACAAAGCTTAAATGCTGAGCTATTTTTCTTCAAATGAATATGCTAAGGATTGTTTAGAATTAAACAGTGATGAAGTGATTTCTGCAATCATTTGTTTGCATTCTATACTGTATTTACATCTATAATTGCTTTTATCTATAATTGCCGATTGAGACAAAATCCGCTATGAAGGATTTCTTCTGTATGTCATAACCCTTCAATATACCAACCCAAGTGCATAGATAATTACGCTTAAATTTTTATTTTATTTTTTATGATCCCTGTTTTTTTAATTTATTTTATTTTTCAATGTGAACAGAAATTATATTTTTGTATTTTTCTCATTGCAGGTTTGATGGATGAAGAGAACTTGTTCTTGTGAAAAGTAATTTGGATAATAAAGAGAGAGAAATCTGATGAATTCTATTGCGCGATAAACAACTTTACAGGCCTCATAAATGAGCGTCGAGTGTCAGACTCGTACATTCATCCAATCATCAAACAATCCGGCTGATTTAAGCTTCAATATGGCTCCCCTAGGAGACATGCAACAGGACATGCAGAAGCACTCAGAAAGTGTNGTAATTTGGATAATAAAGAGAGAGAAATCTGATGAATTCATTGACGTCCATTGTGCGATAAACAGGCCTCATAAATGAGCGTCGAGTGTCAGACTCGTACATTCATCCAATCATCAAACAATCCGGCTGATTTAAGCTTCAATATGGCTCCCCTAGGAGACATGCAACAGGACATGCAGAAGCACTCAGAAAGTGTGATATACCATCCCCATTCAGCAAAGAATTGTCAAAGTACACCTGTATCGAGTCCCATGACTTCCATGGGATCGGGATCCTCCCCTCGATACACGGAAGATCCCATGAGTATGGAAGACAATCTCGATCCTGCACCGATTGATTTGTCTTCGGATGACAGCTGTTTATATTCAGAAGATGAAATGCAAAACATGTCATCGAATCCCTTGAACGAGTTGCAAAATTCTCTGGACAAAAACGGATTTTTAGGGCAAAGCCTGTCTGCGAGGCCCAATGGAACAAACGGCCGTGGGGATTCTGCAGAAGATTCTGATTCGATGAACAAAGGGGTCGAAACCCTAGAGTGTCACCTGTGTAATTTTCAAGCTGTTTCTCCCGAAGAATACAGTCATCACATCGATGGTCATTTTGACCACAAATGCCCGATTTGTGATTACACGTCACGAACTGAGGGACGCTTGAACAGGCATATTCAGGATTTCCATTCGGAAGTGCCTCCGGAAAGCTGGGCTGGAAAAAAGAAGCCCAACCAAGTCAGAGACGATAAACCCGAAAACTCGAGTTCATCCTCTCCTGCCTCGCAAAAAGCAAAAATAAACAGATGCAAACAATGCAACTTCAGCTGCGATAATAAACCCGAGTATTATAAGCATTTGCAGGAAGTTCACATGAAGAAAGATAAAATCTTGCAATGTCCCAATTGCTGCTTCGTTACAGAGTACAAACATCACTTCGAATATCATCTTCGTAACCACGTTGGATCGAAACCCTTCAGATGCGACAAATGCAATTATAGTTGTGTGAACAAATCGATGTTGAACAGCCACGAAAAATCTCATTCCAAGATTTATCCATATCGCTGTGCTAATTGCAAGTACGCGACTAAATACTGCCACAGTTTGAAGATGCACCTCCGAAAATACGGCCACAGTCAGGGACAGATTCTCAATCCAGATGGCACCCCGAACCATAATCCGATAATTGATGTGCATGGTAGAAGAAGGGGTCCCAAAGGAAAATCGGGCGGCAAAAATAAACAAAAGTGTTTAACCTACAGCGATATTCCTTCTCCAAACATTTGCAATGCAAAAACCGAGATGTCCACGCAACCGTTTCTATATCCAACACCTCATTTCCCTCCTAAAACCTTTTCTTCCATGCTTATGGGACCCACTTCTTTGGACTTACAAATTCCTTCGTTTTCGGTGTGGCCGAGACCTTTCAAGTGTCACTACTGCGATTTCATGACAGAGTCCCTCGATCTTTACCAACAACATGCTGTAGCCCATGCCGTTAAAGAGAATTCTGATTTGATGCGCACCTGCAACATCAATCCGGACATATTTCATTTGCAAGCTCAGCATCTGACCTTTAATAACTATCCTCAAAATTCCATACACCATGTTGACGAAGTCTCTAGGTCAATGCATAAAAATGAAATTGAAAAAAAGATCGTGTGCAGCACTGCTTCGGAGAACACTCGAAGTCATTCAATTCATAGCGAAAACGCAATAATATCCACTGGCAACAGCATTTATTCATCCTCCGCAGAGAATAAAATTCCACTTACAAATTCCGTTCCTCAGATTCCTGATTCCAAAACATATTCTCCGGTGAGCAAAAGCTCGGATGGAACAAAAAATATTTCAGATAATCACAAACCATCCTCGGATTATCCTGAGATCCTTCCTAGATATTCACCTCCTGCTCGTCATACTTCGCCGGTGCATTTTTCTACTTACAATGAAAATGGAAATAACCATACATCAAGCGACAAACAAAGCCTAACTTCACCCCAAGAAGCCCTTTCCATCTCAGAATGCTCACCCAAGTCGAGTTCCTTTAATTCTGACGAGAACGCTAGAAACTCGTTTGAGTGCCAAAATGAGGAGCATTCCCCATTGGATTTAAGTGGACCTAAAATCTCTGAGCCCATATCCCGAGGAGTCAAAATCGAGCATCACACTGCAAAGAGGAAACTTTCACCCAATGATGTCGCTTCTACAAATCAGGACAGCCAATCGAGGAACAGACGAAAAGGAAAAGCTTTTAAACTCGACCACTACATCCAGTGCGAAGATTCGCCCATCAAAACCGATCTGGATGCTGCATCCGATTTCAAATGCTTCGTAGGCTCTGAAGACACTGCTAAAAGAGAAGCGAGTCAACTTTTAGACTCAACCGGAAATCGTCCCAAAGAAACTACGCCAGAGGAGACACCAAAGCAGTACATGCAGAATTTTAATCAACCACCGAAAACCACGGCCTCTTCGAAATCTTTGGAAAAAGAAAAACTAGTCTCCACTGCGTCTTCATTGTCCACTCAACGACCCCTCTCCCCCGAGTTCACCATCAATCACAACAACAATCTAGATTCCTCTAATGAATCTGATTCAAATATACAATCGGAAGTGCCAAAAGTGGAATCTGACGAGGCGAATTTCAAATCGACAAACGGCTATGCGTGTAAATACTGTGAAACGACATTCATGGATTGTGCCATGTACACCATGCATATGGGATACCATGGACTAGGTCACCCATACAGGTGCAACACGTGTGGCAGCGTTTGCCAAGACAAAGTTGAATTCTTTCTTCACCTCATTCGTGTTGCGCACACGTGAGCAAGACGAACCTTTCATTATAAAAACAATTACCTCTTGGCAGTGTCATCGGATATAAAGTTCCTTAAATTATTAACAAGCATATCCATGTTGTGATATCTACTTATATATATTAGATCTGCATTGGTAAGAGCGTGTATTTTTAGAACTATTTAAATGCTATAAACAAAACAAAAAAAAACTGTTACCCTGGCTGATCCCGAACTGATTCCGTTGTGATTGCAGTCAAGCAAAAAACTACTTTGTCGATTACAACACAAAAAAAAAGTGGGAACTGTTAAGCAAAGACAATGCAGATCTTCCGATAGGAACTATTTTGTAGACACAGATCTTATTCTGTTGCTTTAAATGTTCGAAAAATCTTAATTGTTAAAACACTTTGGTTCATTTAAATTATTTTACAACTCGATACTGTTAAACACGGTGTTTGAATGCTAGTCATGTAGTCCTGTGTGGAAGCAATATTCATAGCAAATAGTGTGAAACAAAAACAAACAACAACAAAAAATCAAAATTTAGGGGGTGATCCCCTATTGTGTTGTGGATTGATTTGCTATTTATATGTGATATATATATATATCTATATATGTTTGAAATAAGTGTAAGATTTTTCTCTTCAAGTCGAAATTCATAACATTTTTGAAAAATACCTAAAATTGTTATTGGAGATTATTTTTTTCCTTTTCATTTGTGAAATCTTATGCATTCAAAACTTAGTGCAAAATATATTTCGCTAGTCATACTGTTTTGTTTAAAAATTCATCACCTGTCACAATCAAATACATGATAACATCTAGTTTTAATTTCATACTGAATTCATAGTTTTAATGGTAATTCTCCGTTACCATGTATTGTACCACTTTTTTTTCTTCGAATTAGATCAAGCGTCAGAACGGTTGCCAAATTGTGACGACAACTGACTAGCGAGAAACCAAAAAGAACGCATATGGAAGTTCAAAGAGCCACTTTCCCCATTCCATACAGTGACTTGCTCGGAATTGTGCTTATTGCAAAAATTTCACCCTTTCATAGTTTGTTTCGTTCTGATATTATTATTTTAGTTTTTGCATACCCTTCATCATAACCTGATTATTGTCTAGGATTCTGAAATTCCACAAAATTTGGTAAAATACCATCACAATAATAGCTATTTTATTTTAAATCTGATCCTTAATTTAAATTTGAAAGAAAAAAATTCCTCAAAAATTTTAGGGAAAAGCATGGATATATATATATATACCGATTGATTTGTCTT